AGTGTCAATATGCCATGTTCTCTGCACCCCGTGGCAGTGGACATGAAAAAGCAGGTGGAGATGAAGCCTCTGACTGTTGGGGACCCAGGGTGATCTCAAAGTGCTGATGCGTGGCTGACCAGTGTGGACAAGTGACACAAGGGAGACATAAATATATGCATGCACGTATGTGTGTGTGCGTGTGTGTTAAGCTGCAGAGATGTTTTATTGTTACCACAGTGTGACCAGCCTCTCCTTCCGATACCCTCACACCTGCTCCCTTTGCACCCTGGAGAGTGGGTGACTCTGTATAAAGGTGGGCTGATGGAGTACTAAAAATGACTCCAAACAATGGAAGCCTGTACCCTACCATTGTGCATTTCCTCAACTCAATGCATTCAAATTCGAGCCCATTGTATCAGCCCCTCAAATCACCCTGCCTCCCATCTGCATTTCCAGCCTTGGGGGCTCCTGGAAGCTTCAGCCATGCCCCTCCACTAGGTTCAAAGCATGGGGGGCATCCCCACGTCCTTCCTTCCCATCTCCACCACATCCCACTGGTCCTCTTTCACGCGTTTCAGGTGCACCCTCATCTGGCTCTCCGAGGCACCCAGCTCGTTTGCTGTACCAGCTCCTGGCTGCTTTCGTCCACTTTGCCCCAACCTAAGGTCTGCCCCATGAGGCCTTTGTGTGATTGTTCTAAAATGCTAATCTGTTTAAAAACTTTAAGTGCTGCTCCATCATCCACAGGAAAACCCAAGTGGGACACTGGTCCTTCTGTGACCTGACTCTTGCCTCTGTGCCCAGCTATCTGCAGTCTTGCTGCCCCGGCTCCTTGCTGCTGTCATCAATGCTCTGTTCTTCCCCCAGCCCGCCATGTCCTCACACCTCTGTCCTTCCCATGCTGGTCTTGGGTCCTGGGTCCTGGCCCTCACATTCCCCTCAGCTGTCTGGTGGAACCTCTGCATCCTTTGGGTGCATTTATGGTGCACGCCCACGTTGGAAGTCCATGGAAGGAGAGTCTTGCTGGGCATGCGCCTCCAGCTGCAGTACTTGTCAGGCGGCCTCTGAAAGAGCGCATTTCTCTGTGCTGTAGCTGAGTCTCCTGCCTCCTTTGCCCCAAAACGTTCACATGGTGTGGGCAGGAACCTCGTTTTCTTATCTTTCCATGCCTTAACACAATGCCAGTTATAATAGCGGCTCCATAAGGAGGGGATAAATGATTAAAAAACCATTGTGCTTTCATGGAGCTAATTTAATGTGTGGGGATTGTAATTGGTTCTCCTCATTTCATTTGACACTAGGACATTTCAAATCTGGGCTAAATTTGAGCCATTTCTTTAATCATAGGAGGAATTCCCTCTACATCGAAGGAGACAGCCAAGACCTGAGACAGCAGACAGGTCCTTGGTTCTGGGCAGGGGGAGGAGCCAGGACCCACTCCCTCTGCCCTGACTAGGAAAGGACCACCCTGGAGCTCCTCAGGGTACAGCTGCCCTTCTGCTGTTTGTTTGAAAATGATGGTGAGTAACTCCTCTTTCTCGTGTAGATGTATTATGTGGTGATAACCACAGGGATGGCCTGGGTAGGGTGACTGGTGGGGAAGGCTGGAAGGGATACTCTCTGGCTGGCAAAGGAAAAGCTTGGGCCATGCGTGCCCAAGAGAGACTGGACAGGTGACAACAGAATGCAACCGTCGTGCAGGGAATCAACTCCTCCCACAGCGATTCACAGTGAGCCAGGGTGGGGCACATGCACCTCAGGGGCCCACCATCTACCACTACAGTGATGCACTGAAAACATGCGACTGATGCGGAGAAGGAGGCAAAAGTGCCACTCCAGGAACCCCTGCAGAACCCTGGGCAGGGGGCCTCCGGAAGGGGCCTTGCAGCCGGGAGAAGGCATCAGAGCCAAGCCTCTCTACCTGTCCCACCCTTGCTACTCCATCACCAGGCATGAGGCCAGGTAGTTGATTATCATCCGCATCCTGAATTGACCTGTGTGGAGAGAATTCCTATGCTGCATTGGACACGTTCCCGGGCGTGCAGGATGACACATTAGCAGGCAATGACCACGAAGTAAATGACCTACAGAAATTGATGTAAGAACAGCCTACAAAGCTACCTCATCCAGACCATGATTCCAGAGCCCCGGGCTACTTGCACACCTCCTATTTGTCACCGATTTCGATTCAAGTGGCCAGGACAGAGCCCGCCTGCTCTGATATGTCACTTCTAATGACAGCACAGTGCAGGATTCGGTTTCCTTGTTTGGGTCACCATACATCTATTTATAGACAAGGTCAGAAGTCTCCACTTGGGTAAGGCTTTCAGTTCGATTTCGGTTAGCGGATGGGGTAATAAAGTGCTGGTTATTGACGGGCAAGCTCAGAGTAACTCCCTCCAGCGTGGGGATTTTGGCTGTCCCTTTCTGGAGGTTTAAGGATGAAAATATCCACTTCCAAGATGCAAACAGAGATTAAAATGTCAGGGGGTGGTGGAAAAAAATCAATAGGCTTTGGAAGATTGAAAGTCCGCAGCCAGTAAATGCAAGCGTGCAGTTTACTAATTTTAGACCCTGTTCAACCTCCCTCTGTCTTCTCTTTGCTCCTTGCAATTTTCTTTCTTTCCTCCTCAATGGCTCCTTCTCTGACTCTTTTTTCATATACGTTTTTTCCTATGTACTTTTTTTTGTGTGTATTTTTGCTGTCTCTCTATTTCTTCCTCTGCATCTGTTTTTCTACCTTTTTCTGCTTTTTTCCCTTCCATATCACGTCCCCTTCTCCTTTCAACAATGTGACATAAAAATATTTTGAAGTATTATCTTGTGTTTATTAAATAAAGTTGTTTTTAGTTAAACATTTAAAAAACCTGTTACTATTTTTGTGTCTCTTGCTTGCCTTTTTAAAAAATAACTAAAATTGATTTTTTTGAGGTGGTTGACTAATGGAATGTGATAGAAAGAAATACTCCTCATCCTTGCTCTAGAAGTTGAAGAAGATACCCCATCCGCCTTATGGTACTTGAATAGCCATCGACAGCATTTGGACCCCATGGTGATTCAAGAATCGATATCAGTTCTAGTGAAACATAGAGACATTCTAGTAATCAGATGGGTTTTGCTTGGCAGTTTAACAAGTAAAGTGTTTACTGGCTCTGGAAACCCATTCAGTGCACTGTGCCCTGGGCATTTGTGGTTCCGTTTATGTCCCTTTTCTCCAGTGGTCATGCATTTGCTATTCCTATCAAATTTATTGTGTAGTGATTATATGTTAATTCTTTGCTTAGCCTACTGATAGAATCTCCTTAATTGTGTTTATTTCCTTGTAGATTTCTTATGTACAATGAATGTATAGTTGTATATAACATTACTTATGAATTTACTTTTGATGAAACATTTATTCATGTTGACCACATGATTAATATTCCATAGCAAGCACCTAGAAGAATTATAGCACTTCTTATATTTTGTAATGTTCTTTATCTTTGTAAGAATTGGTGAATTGAGATGTTGGGTCTGATTCCAAGGTCTGTTCTCACACTTTAAATTTCTTTGTGTGTTGAACGTGTCTATGTGATCTTTTCCATAAAGACAAAGCAAATTAAGAGAATTCTGTACCGTTTGATCTACCCAAGGGTTTGGAACTCAATTTTGACAGATTTTTATTAAGCCAATGGAGTCATACATCAAAGTCATTAGCATTCTTTCAGAGGCGAACCTGAAACCTAAACCCAACCAATCAGTAATCCAGTGACGGGCTCTGATTTAAATGCATCTGAATCCAATAGAGATGGAAAACTAAAATACCTTTATAGGAAATATTGACCAGTAGATCTCTTATAGTGCCCTTAATTCAATTAATACAATTCAGGTGAGTTAAAAAAATGTTCACTGAACTAGAATATCAATTTCTAACATGAGCCTTATTGTGAAAACTGTTAGCATCACAACTCACACGCAACACTATCTAGTTTAACCCATCCACACACTCCAGACTCTATTCATTGACAATGATGCTAGGTTCCAAGCCATTGATCGTTCTAGCATTCAGAGAACCTGTGGGTTATTTGCGCTGGTGACTTATGATTTAGAGATTAGAACTAAATCTGCTAATATGCTGTGGATTGTGAATTAGTTGGTGTTGTCCAGGTTAGCAGACATTTGGTCCATGCTAAAATGTCCTTGACATTTGGTCTTGTCCAAAATGTCCATGAGCATATTTGGTCCATGCCAAAATGTCCTTGATATCTGGTCATATTTGATCCTGTCCAAAAAGTCCCTGGAGACATTGGGTCCACACCTAAAGGTCCTTGATATTTGGCCTGTCCAAAACCATTTGTCATAGACTAAATATGCTTGTGGACATTTTGGACAGGACCAAATGTTAAAGACCTTTTGACATGGACCAAATGTCTGATGGATGCCTTGGACAGGACCAAGTGTCCTACAATGACGACACAAGCATGTCAGTTTTGCAATGGTATCGGCAACCTCACTATTTCATTCCAGGTCTGAGAAGAACGCATTGCATGACTCTAAGATCCTTTCCCTTACCTACACCATGGGGATGGCCCCACCAAGCACTCCATCTTTTTAATAATTCTATCTGAAATTTCTGAATTACACTTAAAAGGTTTAACAATGATAAACCACTTTTTCTTCTCTGTAGATTATCCAGCCTATGGAATATCTACACATAAAACTTCAGCTGACTTTGACAAGTCTCACAAGACAAGTTTGTGGACCCCAACCCCCAGGGCAGTGTTACAAACAAAATCCATTTGGATTCTTCAGCTCCATACTTTGGGTAACAATTTCAGGACAGAATTTGACCCCATACAAGATGAATTTTGAATAATGCATAACGTAACATCAACACAATGCGGTATGTGTTAAATAAACCTTGGCTATTGCAAGAGTGAAAGAGAGAGACTGGATAATCACAGGGGGATGTGGTTTTTGCAAGATTTTGCAGTTTTCCTTCAAAACCAAAAATAAAGAATAAATTTCAAGTTACTCACTCATGGATTCTGTCAACTTGGCCATCGTCATGGTTTCTTCTTTGTGCTTTTTCTGGAGATGAGAAGAAAAGACAATTATGTATAAAACACATCTTAGATATGAATTGACACAGTGGGACTGTCACAGCTCTCTCTCCCTTCTTTTTCCTACGTCAGAATTTGGTTATCAACGATGAAATGAATTTAAAAGTCTCACATTATAGCTACATGATTAGTCAGTCTCCAAAAACAGATTTTTAGGACATTAAAAAACTTGCCACTGGTCTTGGAAATGAGTGTTGTCACACTGATATTGGATATATATAATTGGTGACGCACGACCCATTCTCAAAACCTCTTTGACACTGGATTTTTGACATCCATATGCCAATCTTTTACTCCCTATTTTCTCCTGTTGAAGCTTTTTCAGTATTTTTGGAGCTGACATTTTTGTCATCATTTGATTTCTTTTTCTCCTAAAAGCTAAATAGATTTTATGCATTTTTCTTTGTCTTACTTTTGTGAGTTCCTGGAGTGTTTTGAAGGTCATCACTTTTGACGGGAGTATAACTTTTTCTATTTGGGGCTGAAAATATTTTGTTTCAATCAGTTTATAAGTTATAACCCACTGAGTTTGAGAGCCAGAATGATAGGTGCATATGTTGAATCTGTCCTAATTAAAAAATTACTTTGGACGTATTAAGAATAATGGTCATCTCTACTGAAAAGTTCTCTTCAATTTCTTTGGGTTCTTAACAGGTGTAGTAACTGAAACATTGGCCACTATTATTTTACTTTTTTTCAGCCTTATTGTTTTTTGATTATGAAATTAATACATGTTCACTACTCAAAAACTCAAAATGTTAAAAAATTATAGATTAGAAAATACAGTTCTCTCATAATGCCACCCCCAGAGGAGACTACTGTTATATTTTGGTAAACAACTTTTTATTCCCATTTCTATACCTGTGAATAAATACAGAAAAGGAAGTATGATCCCAATTTTATAAATATAAGCATTTATACAGTAGGCCCCTTTCCTTAGTCAACTGTGGTCTGAAAAGAACTCTGTGTCACAATGGGTATGTCATCCACCTCTCTTGATCTCACCATGAAGGCATCGTATCATCTCATACCATCACAGGTAAGAAGGATGAGTATTGTACAATAAGATATTTTGCGAGAAAGAGAGAGAGACCACACTCACATAACCTTTATTACAGTATATTGTTACAGCTCTATTTTGTTATTAGTTATCATTGTTAATCTCTTACTGTGCCTAATTGATAAATTAAACTTTATCGTAGGTATCTATGCATAGGAAAAAACATAGTCTATATAGGATTTGGTTCTGTCTGCAGTTTCAGGCATCCACTGGGGCTCTTGGCATGTTCCCTTATTGCTAAGCAGGGACTACTGTGCTCTACGTACAATTTTTTTTTCAAGAAAGGAGCCTCCCTGAGCTAACAGCTGGTGCCAATCTTCCACTTTTTTTTTCTCTCCAAAGCCCCAGGGCATGGTTATATATCCTAGTTTTAAGTCCTTCTCGTTCTTTTATGTGAGCTGCCACAGCGTGGCTACTGACAGACGAGGGGAGTGGTTCTGTGGCTGGGAACTGAACCCTGGCAGCTGAAGCAGTGAGAATGCCGAACTGTAACCACTAAGCCATCAGGGCTGGCTCTACATACAATTTTATAAGCTGCTCTTTCACTTAATACCATGTCATCCATCTTTCTTTGTCACTAGAGGTAGAATATATCATCACTTTTTTAAAGACTGCATGGCATTCAGCACGGGTTATATGTAATTTCCTTAACCAGATTCCATTTAATTTGCTTACATATTTCCACTGTTTTATAAAACGTGGTGATGAGCATCATTGAACTCCCATCTTTGTGCAGTTGTCCTGTTAACTGAGGATAAATCTTAGGGTTAGGCATGATTTGGTCAAAAAGTAGGAATATTAAATATTTTGACACACACTGCTCAGCTGTTGCTCCTGAAGTTTGGATCCAAAAGTGTATAAAAGTGTGTATTTCCTTACATTCTTGCCAACCTGCCAATCGCATTAGTGTTTTTTGTCCCTCAATCTTTGCCAAACCGATAGGCAAAAAACCGGAATCTTCTTATTTTATGCTGTCATTTTCCTTTCTCTGACCTTTTGTGTATGAACAACCACAGCAATCCTTCATACGTCGTCAGTATGTCATCGACTCTTAGTTTCCTGATGCTGTGCTCCAGCTCCTCTGCCATCAATATTTTAGTTCTTGGAAGCCAAAGGTGGCATTTATTTTTCCCGTTGGCCATAGTATAGTGCTGAGCACGTTCCAGCAGCTTGGCTAGCACCTGAGTGGCTGTGTCATGGCTTGGGTGTTGAAGTACGGTTGACAAAATCATTATTCATCCTTCTCGTGCCACTATTCCCAAACTGAGAGAGTCTGCTCGGAGTGTCAACAGACAGCTTTGCACATCACAAGTCCACTGGATTTTCCCAAGCTGAGTATTTATTCATAGCAATGAAATCAAGGCGCTGCCTCTTACTTAAACTAATAATTGCCCTTGAGAACAGAAGGAGCCAAGGAACCAGAATCTACCATTTAACCCATGATATTTAGCCTGCCATGTGGTTTATGTCAAGATGCAGAGAAACAGCAGGGCTATTGGAGAGGCTAAGAGTATAGCAGAGAAAATCAAACAGGCAAAGGGGAACTTATCATAGCAACAATAGTTCACAGGAGTGTGCACAGAGACTGCTTCAAAGATGAGTCACCCCTAGTGGTTTGTGACAATTCAAGCACAGAAGCCACTCCATGGTGAGAAATCTGTGAAATACATTCCTGACCTGTGGGAACCTCGTTCTGTCGCTGCCTGCTCCATCATTGGCCCTCCACCTCACCTCTTAGCCTAGCTCTGCTGCTGGCTTAGCCCCTCTGGTTCCATTCTCTCTCCTTGTCTGTGACTTACTTCCCTTTCAGTCTCTGGTTCTGCGCTTATCAGTCCTCACTCTGGATCATAGACTCTGATCATTCTCCTCTGATGGCCCCAGTCATGAGATTCTCCAAGCCACATGCTCCCAGATTGCAGCATTATATCCTTACAAAGCCTTGTCAAGTTTGTCCATCTTCTTGTGTGTGTGTCCCTTACTTTACCTCTTGTGACCCAAGGACCCTGCCACCTTTTGTACCCTAGTCACGCTGGTGGGTGGTCCTTGCAGCTATTTTTATTCAGATGTGTTGAGTACCCTAGTCCTGGAGAAATCACATACAGCCTGTATCAGCATTTTTCTCTTCCCCATAGTTAAGTGAAAATTTCTGACATTGAAGGGGATTTTTAAGGGGGAGGGGCCCTTAAAAATCCTAAATTTGGCTCTCTTAGTTTGATTCATATATCTCACAACTTATGGTGGAAATGGCACATGTTTTTCTGTAAGCAGTTTAGTCATTCTATGAGGTGCCTTTAAACTCCTTATGTCCTTCCCTCATTATCAGAAAGTTGAGGTTTGCAATCGCATGGCATGCGTCCCTGATAAAGCATTTACATGCCATTCTCGATCCCAAGAAAATTCTCCTCCTTTTTCTGAAGCCAAGAGTTTCCTCCAAAGTAAATTTGCTGGTTATTGGATTTAAAGTACTGAGAAGAGACTTAGAATTATAGCATATTAAACCCGGAAGAGATTCTTTTAGAGATGTCAAGTCCAACCCTACAGGGATGCAGTTGATGAAACTGAAGCCCATGCCAGGAAAGGAATTTCCACCAAGCTGGTCTCTTCCTCTTATCAACAACCTCTACTCTGCCAGAAACCTCAGGGTCCACTGTACATAAGCATATTGAGACAGGACTTCTCATACAGCAATCCTGGTGCTGTTGGAGTTTCCCAGATTTGCCTTCTCTGTGTTCCTTCTTCAAGCAGTCTCACGCACAGCAACGTTTCTAATTTCCACAAACGGCTGATGACTTCCTAATTTGTATCTCCAGCTCTGACCTCTCCATTGACCTCCTGCTGTCAACTGGACTGCGCCACCCAGATGCTCAATGGGTGTTCCAAAGCAACATGTTCAAAGCTAATTTCTATTCCCGAGACACTTTCCACCGGTCCCCCTGCCCAAGCCGCTCACACCTGGGCTTCCTCTTCCATTCTCTGTCTTTAGTATATGGGATCACTACACACACTGTGCCTAAGCCAGAAATGTGGGACACCTCACCTCCTTTTTCTTTCTCACTTCCGATATTTCACGTATTTTAAATCTGACCTCCCTTAGCTGTGGTCTTTTAAAGGGACTATTGATGTTGCTTCTACTTGCCTCCAGTCTTACCCACAACACTGAGGAGTTATCTTGAAATGACCCTGGGGGATCCATCTAAAATGCAAACTTGACCTAGGCATCCCCTGTTTGAAATCTTTCAGTCCCTCTCTAGCAAGTAAGCATGTGATCCTTGTCTTTTGGCCAGGGCTGGTTATCTGAATGGCTCTGTCTTTTTCACTCACACCCTGGTTACAGGTATCTTCCTGCCTGGCAACCACTGTTCCCTCTGCCTAAACATCCCTATTTCTATTTCCTCCTTGTGCTCCAAATTCACCTCTAAGAACTCTGCTGGATACCACTCAGTCTCTGCAGTTTTACCCGGCTCTTCCTGACCATCTTTCCTGAGTTTTATGTCTAGACGTGTTCATACTCCAATGTGTCCATATATTACACTGCATCATTTATTATGGGTGTACCCTTTTCCAAGACCTTCGGAAAAGCCAAGTCCTGCCTCCCAGTTGCCTCATCTGGGGGCTCCCATTGACACCACCATCATGGCTGGGAAGCAGTGCCTGGTAGACCAGAGGTCTCTGCCACTGAAAAGCCCCATGGGCCTGAATGAGAAATTTTACTTTCTTTGGCGAGTTTCCTGGTCCGTTCGTTTCAGACATGGTTTGCTGTTTGCTGAGGGGCCACCAGTAATAGTCAGTCACAGGAAGAGGCTGCCTGTACACTCTTAGTTTGGGAGAAAGTGTGAGTAGTGGTGATATTTTAAGATGAAAAAGACTTGTTTGCTTCAAGAAGTTTCACTAAGAAATATCTTTCTTCC